AAAAAAAAAAAAAAAAAAAAAAAAACAACAACAACACAGGGTAAATTCCAAAAGTCAATCAACACAACAGCCCATCGCTACTCAAGTACCACATTAAAAGTCTTATGAATAACACTGAAGTTGGCACACTTTCTTTTCTACATACTATAGTATAAGGGAGATGTTTATCGGGGTACCTTACATGAAGTTCTTTTAACATTTTGGACGTTTGCCAATATATACAGCTACATTTTCTTTTTTTTTTTGTTATTGCTTCAATCAAGGATTTCGCTTTTATAAACACGGTATATAACAAGGTATATGTCATTTAAATATTTGACATTTTGAAAATTGCAAAAGTCCTACAGCTCCAATATGATATCCAGAGATTTCTTTCTCATTGCAATTTATCTCTCAATTGAAGATTTTTGAATGATGTTGTTGATTAATAACACTAAGGTGACATAGCTTTAGTAGGGCACCCATTCCTATTACATTTCCCCCAAACATTTCTTAAGTTAATCTACTCTACATAAACTAGTAAAAAAAAATTTCAGGAAAGGTTACATTACCTGTTTGGAACATCATGACTGCAATCTCCTTTGCAGAAGCATCCTTGGGATCATCTTCTACTCTCCTGAGCAGTTCTTTGATCAACGGATGTCGAGGATTTATTTCTAGAGTTTTCTTTTGATTGAGATAATAACTGCGTTGAGGATCATCAGACTTTTGATGAGCATTAGAAACTGCCAATCTCTCCATATTTCCTGTCCAACCAAACATGGATGCCACAAGAGCACAAGGAGAACCAGATAATCTTTCAGAAATTGCTGCTTTGGCTATTTGATCTTTCAGTGCTTCTTCAGATAACCACCTGTACAAAAGTAAGTGTTACATCTTCACCACTCTCTCAAGTCACTTCCATTAGCTTTATGAAAACTACTTACTTTAGAAGAGGTTCGTATCTTTCTTTTAAAGAATCTAATTTCTCTTTCGCCTTTTCATCTCCTTCAGATAAGCTAAATCCTTCCTTTGCCACATTTTGGAATTTTTTACCATCAAATTCAGGGAGAGCTGATATGCAATATTCATCTACAGCTTCAGTTAAATAAAGTACTTCATAGCCCTTCTTTAAAAGACGCTCAACAAAAGGAGATTTCTCCACCTAAAGAAACAATAGTAAGATTTTTTAAGAACTCTAAAATTTGAGATCTACTGGTACAACTTGTTTCCCCAACAATGATTTCAAATTAATTTTTAATTACACTAATTATTCCTCATATGAGAACATTTTTTCTTTTAGAAAAGAATGTTATTTAAAATTCATTATAACT